GAATAGATGGATGGAGGAATAGATGGATAGATGGATGGATGGGTGGGTGAGATAGATGGATGGATGAGATAGATGGATGGATGGGATAAATGGATGAAAGATGGATGGGTGGATTGGATGGATGAATGGATGGATGGATGGATGGGATGATGGATGGATCTAAGCACAAAATATCCACATAGTTTTGGAGATACAGCAACCGGGCTAATTCTGTCTGATGTATGAAGCAGTCATGATTATCTAAGTTGTGGGTCTGTTTGATCAGATCAGGGACCACTTTTGGAGGTGGATGAGGAACACCACAGAGCTGCCACACATACATACATACATACATACACATAAAAGAGGGACACTACAAAGAGTGTACCCCCTCTTTTAAAAAGTACCATCCTTCGCCAACCCTAGCAAAGCTTTCACACCTAACCTTACTTCTCCTCGCTTCCCTCCCTTCCCCCCCCCCCCCGGTTAATGTGATCCCCCAACCTCCCCACCCTTCCCCCCCCACCCCTACCTCCCCCCCCTTCCCCCCCCCCCCCCCCCCCCCAGGTTAATGTGATCCCCAAAAGTCCCAACAGTGCCCAAGCTTGGTTGAGAAACCCCCTCTTTGACTCCCCCACCCCCGCAAGTTCAAAGAAGCAGCAGAAGCAACACTTGAGTGGTGTTGATTTATTTATTAACTTGGATTCTGGTAGCTGGTGGAGAGGAAGGATGGTTCTATACACTGGAGTGGGGGGGTGGGGGGTGGAGGGAAGACAAGAGGAGCCAAAAGGCTCAAATTTCCATAACAATAAAAAAGAAGGTAAAAGTAACCCCAAAACTTCTAAAAAGCATCTAGAGTGCAGACACTGGCAGCATTCTCTAGGCATTGCCCTCCTTTACAGCGCCAACTAGCGATCGGCGGGCAAAAGCGGTGCCCCCCCCCCCGCAGGCAGTCGAGGGGGATGCAGTTCACAGCTCAAAATTATTCTTATTGTTTTTAAATTTTCTATATGCACTACTGGAGGCCAAAAGCAGAGGGGCAGAGGGCGGGCAGGTGCGTAGGCCCACGCTGGAATCTAGGGTGATGCTGTGTCAGCAATTTGGGGTCGGGGGGGGCGGGGGGGGGCAGGCCATACAGGCTGCAAATCAATGTGATTGGAGGGCGTGGGGAACAAGGAAGTTTGATGCTCCGTTCCTTGCATGTCTGGATAGGGACAGCTAGTCTCCCCGGGGAGATGCCTGGCATGGCGCTCAGCTTTTCCTCCAACATTCACTGCCCTTCTGCCTTCTCCCACCCCCCCACCCCCACCCCCACCCACCCCCCAAGTACTTCCTCCTACCTGGGCAGGGCCAGCGTAGCAGGATCCCAGGCACAGGGGCTGAGAAAGTGGCGCTGCAGCCGAAGGAGAGCGCCACGCTGCTGGGGTGACCACAGGGGATGGTCAAGGAGTCCAAGATGGCCCATGCTTCCTCCTGATCCTCACCTTAACTGCTGGGCCATCCCCTGTGGCCACCCACCCCCAACCCACATGCCCCTTGTATCCCTCGGGGGCCTCCGAAGTTTGAAGCAGACGTCAAAGGCGCCAACTGTTGCTCATGGCAGTTGTCCCAAGAGTGTAGCTTGTTGGTGGAGGAGAAGCGGGTTCTTTGAAGCACTGGGGGTGGGGAGCCAATCTTGATGGGGGAGGAGGATGGAAGGAAAAGGAGGGGGAGGAGGAGGAGGAGGAGGAGGAGGATGAAGAACAGGAGCATCACTCCCTCCATGCCAGGCCTGATCAAGGAAGTTGCTAGCAGGGGGGACGGGGGAAAGGGGTGGGGGCAGAGGGAAGGAATTCAGTTCCCCCCAGCTAAGACTGGTCCAAGAAGTGTTGGCAGGATGCCATGTCTGTGCTGAGTGAGGAGGCCCCCTGGGGGGGTCCTCCCGTACGGAAGTGCAGGCAAGGGAACCACGCTGCCCTTCTCCTGAGCAACAGATTGTGCTGGGTGGAGCCAAGCATCGGCGCATGCGGGCGGTCGCACACTTCCACCCGGGGCCAAATTGCGGGAAGGCGCTGCGCCGCACCCCCTTTGGTGGCGTGCCTTGGCAGAGGCTCGTGTACTAGCCCTTCTTCTCCTCCTCCTCCTTCCCTTCCCTTCCCACGCGTCTCTAACCACCGCCCTGCGTGTGTGTGTGTGTGTGCATGTGTGTATGGGTTCCAAGGAGACCAGGAGGATCCGGGGGGGTGGGGGAGACCTTCCCGATGAGAAGACATTCGGGTTCTCCCCGTCTCTTGTTTTCCTTCTCAACGGGGCTGGCTGCCTGCGGACGCTTCCAAGGACTGGAGCCGATCTGGTTTCTGCCGAATGCCTCGGTCGGTGTTTGCATAGTAAGTATCTGTCCATATTCTATACAGGAGATCTCGGCATTTATCCACGTCACGCTTTCCATCCCAACCTGGGAAGAACAACTGGGCAGAGTAGCCAGAAGGGCTCAGCTAGAAGCCCTTCTGGGGTTCCAGGTGGACGGATGGATGGAGCGGAGCTGAGCACAGAGGCAATCCGAAGGCTGAGCCGGGGTGGATGGGATGGCGAATGATCTCCGTCCAGCTTACTCCTTCTTCCCCAGGAGGCCAAGGCACCACGTCAAAAGGAGGGGGCTTTGGAAAGAAGCCCCTCCCCCGCCACGCGCACACAAAACACACAAACACAATTGCATCCGGTTGTTGTTGTTTTTCTCCCCTTCCTCCTGGGGAATCGTCCCAGACCCTCTCCTCTCAAAGTCAGGAGAAAGAACTTTAGCTCATGCGTCGGCAGGTCGGTCGGTCATGCGGATTTAAGACGGTAAAGTTATGTCTCTTACGGAAATCATGCCATTAACCTAAAGAATCGCGGACAGACAGCCCTGCCTCTGGAAGCTCGTTGCTCCACTCGCCTGGCCGCATGGAGAGGAACGAGGAGAGTGGAGGTTTAGTGGATGGGTGTTGAGGTGAGGCCCTGGGGGAAGAAAGGGAGACAGGAAGAGAGAAGAGAGAAAGCGATTGGTACCAACGTTCACAAAAGGTATCACTTTGCAATAGCGCTTAGACTTAGATATCGCTTCACGGTGCTTTACTAAGCGGTTTACACAGTGCCCTCTCTAAGCGGATTACAGAGTCAGCCTCTTTCCCCCAAATATTTTGCGACCTCGGAAGGACAGAAGGCTGAGTCAACCTTGAGCCGGTCAGGATCGAACTCCTAGCAGTGAGCAGAGTCAGCCTGCAATACTGCATTCTAACCACTGTGCATCAAGGAAGGAAGGAAGGAAGGAAGGAAGGAAGGAAGGAAGGAAGGAAGGAATAGCAATAGCACTTCGACTTATTTACCACTTCACGGTGCTTTTACATCCCTCTCTAAGCGCTTTACAGAGTCAGCCTCTTGCCCCCCAACAATCTGGGTCCCCATTTGACTGACCTCGGAAGGCTGAGTCCACCTTGAGCCTGGTGAGAATTGAACTGCTAAATTGCAGGCAGCTGGCAGTCAGCAGAAGTAGCCTGCAATACTGCACTCTAACCACTGCGCCAACGTGGCTGCACCCGCTGCTAAGAAGTCTGATCTACCCATCTACTGACTTCTTCAAGTGTAAAGAAGAACCAGGGATGACACGATAGCCACGTTCCAATATTTGTGGGGCTGCCCCAAAGAAGGGGGGTGGGTGGGTCCAAGGTATTTTCCAAAGCACCAGAAGTTACTGGTGATGACATAAGACCCCCATCCAGACCTCAAGGCAAGGCACAATGGCAGCAAGCAGGTGCACACACACACACAAATCCAGGACCAAAAAAGGTTGCCAATGCACAATTGAAAGCTGCATTCAAACCAGGAGCCCTATTTTCTGGGCTTCCATGGTGCATGGTACCCTCACCTTAAGTATAAACAAGCTGGGTTGGCCCTACACACCAGCCCCATCAAACCTCTGAAGCCGGAGTGATTCACCAGATACTTTTGCCTGCTGTACCAATGCATCACCTCATTTTTAATTGGCCTAATGACACAAGGCCAGCAATAAGAAAAGGAAACTATCTTAGATAGTTCCCATAGTTATTAAGGTCCATGCATTACGATCAGGGGTGGGATTCAAACATTTTAACAACCGGTTCTGCGGTCGTGGCTTAAGTGGTGGGCATGGCTTGGTGGGCATGTGACTTGGGTGGACGTGGCTTGGTGGTCATGTTATTGGCTGGGCATGGCCAACTCAATATCATCGAGGCACGCATCTCCTTGCCTGGCTTCTCATGACTGTGGGGATGCTGCAACAGTCATAAGTGTGAAAAATGGTCATAAGCCACTTTTTTCAGCGCCATTGTAACTTTGAACAGTCACTCCACACAAGCAAAAGTACCAGCAAAGGAGGAGGAAAAAAACTCCAGAGAAGTTCCAGAGACAGGAAGTCCAGTCCTGCCAAGAATGTAATAAGGGTTAACGGAGAGTCAGTTTCTGTTAGCAACACCAGAATGTTTCCTTCCTGCCTTCCTTACAGGATTAGCCCAGTAATTTCTTCTAACAACCGGTTCTCCGAACTGCTTAGAAGGTTAACAACCGGTTCTAGCAAATAGGTGCGAACTGGTGGACTCCCACCCCTGATTACGATGCCAAAGAAGGAGTTTCTTGCCTGCCCTTCTATTTAAGACAAGCCCCAATTTAGGACCCAGCCTTTGGAGGAGAAAAAAAAAGCAATGGGGGTACCCAATACAGCACAGGTGCAGGCATGCTGCCAAGCCCCCCCCAAAAAAAGCCCTGGGATGTCCCAGCCAAACGCTAGGAAGCTCACGTGCTCCATTGAAAGGGCTCTTCAGAAAGTGAGACCTAACTGCCCTCCCCTTCTTACCAGTAAGATTAATTAATTAATTAAGAGGAAAGGGGTGATTTACCTCCAAAGAGGCCACTGGAGGGGGAGGTCACTGCTTCCCCCTTTTCAGGCTGGCTCGTTTGACTATCTGAGCCCCCATCCTGCCCCCAAGCAGTTCCGATCTCGGGATACTCCCATGATCCTCGTCCTGGGGGGAGACCAGCGAGAGACAGCCAAGCAGCCATGGAGAGGCGACAGAACAAGAGAGAGAGAGAGAGAGAGAGACGGGCAGAGAGACAGAAGGAAAAGGGCGTCAGAGGGCAAAGAGGGAGAATCCGGACTCCGAACCGAGGAAGGAAACAAGGTTGGGCTCAAGACCATTGCAAGCAGGTTGGGGTGGGGGTGGGGTGAGTGGCTGCTCATCCTCTCCAGCCATCATGTTTGGAAAACCAGCCTCACATCCAAACCCCCGAGGCTGGGAGGGGCAGTCATGATAATCACCTCTTCGTGCGCCCGTCCGTCTTCGGTGTCCAGTCGCCGGACCACTTTCCGGATAATCTGTAACCAGAGAGTCAGAGATCAAGGGTGGGTGGGTGGGGAAGACGCAGGGAACCAGGGTCTGTCAACCTTTAAGGAAGGGATGAGCAACCTTAAAACACTCAAAGAGCCATTTGTTTTAAGGCTGCCCATTCCCCACACAAAAGAAAACACCGGGAGCCACAAAACCCTTCCCCGTGCCTGACTGTTTCCTGAGCGGCCAAAAAACTAGCATATGTAGTTGAATTAAACGTTCTGTTTTCTTCTGAAACTTTTCTTTCCTTTATCCATGGTTGGCCTACCGGGGATCAAAAAGCTCAATAAATTGCCTGCCAGCGGGTGTCACACATTGGCGATTGTGGTGTATATTTTGAGAGACAGGGAGCCGCAGCAGACGGATGAAAGAGCCACATGCAGCTCCAGAGCCATGGGTTGCCGACCCCTGATTTAAGGGAACTTTTGAGGGCTGTGGATTTCAACTGTCAGTGTCTATGGAGATTCTCAGTCGTCCAGGTCACGGTTGGCCCGACGTGTGCTTTTCCAAAAGGCAACTGGACATTCTTGGATTATTTTTTTCCCCTCGAAAACGTTTTCCTTTTCATCCAAGAAGCTTCTTCAGTTCTCTGCAAAAGCTCCTTGGATGAGAAGTGCAATGTTTTCAAGGGTAGGGAAAAAAAACTAAGAAAGTCCAGCTGCCTTTTGAAAAAGCAACTTTGGGACATTTTTGTCTCAAAGGTGCTTTTTTTTCCAAGAGGCAACTGGACTTTCTGTTTTTTTCTTTGAAGACATTTCACTTCTCATCCAAGAAGCTTCTTCAGCTCTGACTGGATGGTGGTGAACAGAGCTGAAGAAGTCAGACTGAAGAAGCTTCTTGGATGAGAAGCGAAACATCTTCAAAGAAAAAAACCAGAAAGTCCAGTTGCCTCTTGGAAAAAAAAAAAAAAAAGCACTTTTGGGACAGCCAGGACTTGGATGATTGAAAATCTCTACAGACTTCAACTCCCAGAATTCCCCAGCTGTGAACACTACAATCATAGAGTCATAGGGCTAGACAGAACCTCAGATGTCTTCTATTCCAACACCCTGCCCAAGACTTTCCACCATCTCAGACAAAGGGATGTCCAACATTTTCTTGAAGACCTGCAGGTTGGAGCGACCACAATTCTGGGAGACAAGCTATTCCACGAATCAGAATCAGAATAAAGCTGGAAGGGAGCTTGGAGGTCTTCTAGTCCATCCTGCTGCTCAAGCAAGAGATCCTATAGCATAGTTGTTCTCATAGAGAATCAGTTGTTCTCACTGTCAAGAAATTTCTCCTTAGTTCTAAGTCTTTAAAGTCAACAGGGAAGTGAAATTCATTTAGTAACCATGTTTGTTACTAAGTTAACCATTGCAGTGGCTCACTTAACAACGGTGGAGAGAAAGGCTGTAAAATGGGGCAGGGCTCACTTAACCAGTGTCTCACTTAACAACAGAAGTGTTGGGCTCTGTCGTGGCCGTAAGTCGAGAACTACCTGTATTCAATCTGCCCTTTCTGGGCAGGGTTTCACCCCTACGTCCCCCAAGGCTCCTGCTTTGGAATCAACTCTGCTCACTTTAAGACCCAGAGGAAAAGTCAAGTCTTGCAGCTGCTGTTGCAAAAGATCCCCTGTTAAGGCCAAATCTCAGTGCAAACAGATCCAATGGGGATAAAATGCTCTCCAGTGTCCAAGAGGACTGGAGAGAGGGAGCGAAAGGGGGCAGATCTGGGATCTGTGGAGAGCAGAAACAGATCCAGAAATATCAACGCTCATTCGTAAAGAACCGACAGACCCGCAACAAATAAGGAACTATAGGCCAATCTCCCTTTTAAATAAGGATTACATGACACTAGCTATGTTTGAGAGGCTAAAAAGAATATTAAGTAGAATTATCCATCCTGACCAGAACGGGTTTCTTCCACATAGGCAGAGGAAGACCAATACAAGGATAATTTGGGACGTTTTAGAACTCTATGAAATGCACCCAAATAGAAAAATGGCACGGATGTTCCTAGATGCCCAGAAGGCCTTTGATAATTGGAACCGGAGATTTCTTATTAATCAACTGATCGGTATGAAATTTGGTGAAAACTTTCTGGGATTTATCAAAGCCATTTACAAGGCACAAACAGCAAAAATATTAATGAATGGAGAAATTACTGATAGTATAAAGATAAGTAAGGGAGCGAGGCAAGGATGCCCCCCCCTACATTGTTGTAGGTACTAGCAGAAGAGGTATTATGGACACAAATAATACGACAGAACCGAGATATCAGAGGACTAAATATTTAAAAAGAGTATCAACTCCAAGCCTTTGCCGACGATATGGCATTCATAATGGAAAACCCAAAAGAAACAAGCAACATACTAAGGAATGAAATAGAAGTGTTTGGAAAGGTGGCTGGGCTGAAAATTAATAGAGAAAAAAACCAAATTAATAACAAAAAACTGCACAACAAATATATCAAGGACCAACATCAGAATTTCTCCATTTTCCATTTGCGCTCACTTAACCCTCCTCTATTTATGTCCTTTGCAGATGATGATGAAGAAGGAGGAGGAGGAGGAGGAGGAGGAGGAGGAGGAGGAACTGGGACCTCCGGGCAGGGGGGGGGGGGGGGAGCAGGGGGGGGGGGGGGGGGGGGGAGAGTTTGGCACCAAAGAGGAAAATTGGACATGGGATTGCAATCTGTTTTCTTGGCATTATTGCCCTCTGCCCCAAGGTTGTGAGATGTCAATAGAGACAACTCCCAACTCCAAGAGATGAGGCTCAATGGGGGCTAAACAGTGGTGATATTCTCCTTTTGCACGATAGGCTCACCTTCTTGGTGATAATGTTGCCTTGTTCATCAGTGAATTGCTCTTCGGTCACTTGTTCTCCAGGGATATCCAATATTTCGTTACCCTGGGGAGGTGGAGAGAAAAACAAGACAAGCAGAGATCGCCCTTGGGATCAAGATATTCTCTCGTCTGCCCTCTACTCCGTGCACAGCTGGGCTCTTCCAAGTATGTTTGTTTGTTTCATTCATGTCAGAAACATCACAATTAAAATAAGGCATACAGTAGTACAGCAGAACTATCCCCCCCCTCCCCCGGTGAGACCGGTCTATCAGGAAAACCTGGTCTAACCCAAATATGGAATGGAGCAGGCTGCTTCCGCTTTCGCCTTTCAACCCCAATCCAGAAGCTTTTGCAGGAAATCGCTTCCACGACAAACTATTTTTGTGTGCGTGTGCATTGAATTTATATTTATTGACAAAGAAATAAAGGGAGACTAGCGTAGATCTATTTCAAACTATTTTAGATCTCCTCAGCTAGCTGGGGATTCGAACCCAGGCTACTTGTATCTTAAGTAAACGTATTAACCTCTAAGCCATGGCCTCTCCTCGCTTTGTTGGCTATAGCAGGGGGGAAGAGTTTAAGTGTTTTTCTGGTGAGACCAGTCTATCATTGCAACCTGCTCTACCCAAATATGGGACAGAGCGTACTTTTGCTTCCACTTTTGCCTTTCAGCCCCAATCCAGGAGCCTTCGCGACAAACTATTTTTTGGGTGTGTGTTGAATTTATATTTATTGACAAAGAAATAAAGGGAGACTAGCATAGATCTGTTTCTAGCTACTTAGCTCTCGTCCGCTAGCCATACCTTTCTGGGATTCGAACCCGAACAGCATAACATTTAAAAATCAAATGCATAATGAAAGCCTCTACCCGTCAAACAAATCTTGCCTAGAAACTAGCAATGTTAATTGCTCTTCCACTTATGTCCAAAAGTCAGATTCCCTGTCCAGGTAAAATCAGATAAACACCACGTTCTCTGCTTGTGATTTTTTGCCAGTTGGCCAAGCTCAACAGGGCTATGGGGGGGACCTGGTGGCTCAGTGACTAAGACGCTGAGCTTGTCGATCAGAAAGGTCGGCAGTTTGGCGGTTCGAATCCCTAGCGCCGCGTCACAGAGCGAGCTCCCGTTCCTTGTCCCAGCTTCTGCCAACCTAGCAGTTCGAAAGCACATTTTAAAAAATGCAAGTAGAAAAATAGGGACCCCTTTGATGGGAAGGGAACAGCGTTCCGTGCGCCTTCGAAGGCGTTTAGTCCTGCCGGCCACATGACCACGGAGACGTCTTCGGACAGCGCTGGCTCTTCTTTGGCTTTGTAACGGAGATGAGCACCGGCCCCCTAGAGCCGGAAACGACTAGCACGTATGTGCGAGGGGAAACTTTACCTTTAACAGGGCTACAAAATCTTTGCCTGGCACCCAAAAGCTAAGAAAAACAGCTTCTCCACCACACTTTGGGCACCTTCGCCCCAAAGGTCTACACCTGCCCACCACACCCAAAGGGGCTACCTGGACGAAGACACGTCTGCGCACCACCCGGCTGGAAACCACCTCCTCATCGTCACTCAGCCCTTCGCTCTCCCCCAGCTCCTTGTCCAGCTCCTGGTGGATATGCTTCAGCACGAACTGGACGGAGCCCTGGGCGATGTGCAGGAGGTTCTGGCAGCTGACCAGGAAGAAGCCCAGAAGGACTAAACTGACGAGCAGCTGGGTCAGAAAGCCCCACATGGTCCTCTAGGAGCAGCCAGGTGGCCGATCATATCCCAGTCAGGTTGAGCCCAACGCCTTCTGCTCCTATGGCCGCAGGGCACCTTCCGGGCTGGTGGCCGGAGCAGCCACTCTCTTCCTCTCTCTCTCTCTCTCTGCACTTAGGCAGTGGCAGGTGAGGAAGGGGGTGTAATATTAGCCCTGTCCCAGAGCAGCTGCTCGAAGGCCCGTGGCCAAGCCTTCTATCCCCCTTCTCCAAGGAGGAACTTTGTCAAAGTCACCCTCAAGGCAAGAAGTCAGGGTGGCTGGATTGGAATCCGTCGGCTGCTGTGCCTTGGGAATGTGCTGTGCCAACCTTTAAACCAGGTTAGGGTACCTCTCTTAAACCCAGCCCAGCAATTGGCAGGCTGGAGGGGCTCTATTTCTGGTCCTGCTGGGTCTGCCTCTAAGAGAGACCCTGGCGTTACCCAATTAGGAAACAAGCAGAGTTGCTGGCCAGGCAGATATAAATAGAGGCCACCGGGCGGCTGGCTGGGTGTGTGGGTGGTCCTTCCTCCCTTAGCAAAAGCAGAAGAACGCCATCTGCTGGTCAGCATCCCTAACTGCAGGGTTTGCAACCGACAGCCTATTACAGGTGTTACTGACTTGCAGCGGTTCATTTAGCAACCGTTCAAAGTTGTGATGGCATTGAAGAAAGGGACTTTGGACCACTTTTCACAGTTAGGACCTTTTGCAGCAGGCCCAGGATCAAAAACTCAGACGCATGGCAACCACTTTACATTTATGACGGTTTGCTGCTGGGTCCCCGGGGTCACGTGATTTCTCCCCCCTTTGACAACCTTCTGACAAGCAGGAAGCCCAATTCATTTAACAACCACATTCCTAGCTTGACAAGGACAACAATTTGCTTAACAACGGTGGCAAGAAAAAATGGTGAACCGTTGGGTTCAATTGCAGCTGTAGATTGAGGCAGGCATGGGATTCTACCGGTTTGGACCGGTTCACACGAACCGGTAGTTCCGGTGAATATTTGCCCTCACCCCCCACCCCTGCACTAGTCTGTCTTTTATATCCACGTTTTGCAGCGCAGCTGATCCGCGCGGCACAGTGGATTGCCGCACCTCAGCTGTTTCACTCACCGGGGCTGCAGTAGAAGGTAAGTATTAGAGCTCAAAATAGGCGGTGTTCAAACACCGCTCACTGAACCGGTTGTTACACCGGTTGAATCCCACCCCTGCATGGAGGTCCACCTGGGTTGTTACCTGCATTTGTGCAAAGCAGCTGCCGCCGGAGTCCTCCAACCACTTGGCTAAACCTTGCTGCCTCCCCGGCTGGAGACCCCAGTCCCTCTGGAAGGGGGAGCTTTCCCGCTCTTCTGACGAGTCGATCCGCATGTGCTCCAGTTTCTCTCGTTCCCGGCCCCGCAATTTGTAAGACGACAGCCCTTGTCGCAGGAGCGGTGGGCTCAGAGACACCCCTTTGCCCAAGTCCGACAAGCTGGAGATGAAGGCACTCTCGACTACCCATTCACCGGGCCTGGGGGTGGGGTCGGGGTAAAGGACAGAAAGAGAGAGGTGTGGGTTTGTTTGTTTGTTTGTTTCATTCCCTTAGAACAGAGGTCCTCAAACTTGGCAAGACTTGTGGACTTCAACTCCCAGAATTCTCCAGCCAGCTGACTGGAGAATTCTGGGAGTTGAAGTCCACAAGTCTTGCCAAGTTTGGGGACCTCTCTGCTTTAGAGTACAAAATCCACAGCACTAGATTTAGTCTGGAATTTCAGGGGCCGCTTTCCCAAAATTTGACGGGGCCCTGACAGACTCTGAAAAACCCAGAATGATGCCCACATTCCAAGCAGTCTCCTTGGCTTTTCTTGCCGAAAGCAAGCCATTGTTGGCATCATCAAGATAACTCTTGAGAACTTCTGGGAAGGAAGTTCTGGCTCTTTCTCCAACCCAAATACCTAAGCTTGGCTGTCTCTTAAGGTCTGCGGAGATTCTCCATCACCCAGGTTGTCTCAAAGGTGCTTCTTTTTTTCAAGAGGCACTTGGACTTTCTGGTTTTTTTTTCTTTTTAAGACATTTTGCTTCTCCTCCAAGAAGCTTCTCCAATTCTGACTGTATGGTGGGGAAGGGAAGGATTTATACAAGTGACTGTGTATCTGTGCCTCTGTTTGAGCAATTCAGTCCGGTCTTGCCAGACGTAATCAGGGCATTTCCTTGGGGACAATCCAGAACTGATCCAAGGTGTCTTCTCTCTTTCCCAGGCTAGCCCACCTTCAGAGTTCCTCCCCCACCCCCCAGTCCCCTCCCACCGTCCTTTCAACTGGGCGTTGCCTTACCTGTCCTTGCCCTTCTCTATCACCCGGCTAATAGTGGGCGACTCTGTGATGCCCACTTGGACTCTCTGCTGGCCTGGAATGAGAAAGAGGTCACAGTGTGAACCCTGACTCCCCCAAATGGCTCCCCCCCCTTAGCGCTCTCCATCTGGCCTTCTCCCCTCTGACCTCTGACCTTCCTCCTGCTCTAACATGTCCATCAGGCCATTCATGGCATCTGAATCCACTGTGTCTTCCTCCACCAGGTCCATGGAACCAAGAGGGTCGGCGGGGCCATGCACATCCTCCAGCAGCTGCCCCGTGAACCGCCCTTCACTCGTGGCGTCCGAGTCCTCAGCCTTGCTGCACTCCAGGGAGGAATCTTCGGCCGTCACCAGCGAGGGCGTCAGCCCGGAGGACCATACCTGCATGTCCGACATCTCCAGGAGGGCATCCTGCTCGCTGGCAGCCATGGGGATGGCTTCCAGGATGGCCACCTCATTCCAGTATTGGTCGGCACACAGCGGGGAAGGCAGAGCGTAGTGCATGGAGGCGGGGGACAGCAGCTCGTCCTGCAGCGAAGCATAACCTGCGTGGGCAGACAGAGGACGACAGACTGACACACTGAACTGGGGGGGCGGGGGAGGGGAGGGAGGCAGGATTCAGCGGCCCTGTCCCTCTGGACAGCGTTGTTCGACCCCTTGGCAAACTTTTAAGAGGTGGGAGGATTCTGGGAGTTGAAGTCCACGCCTCTTAAAGGTCGCCAAGGTGGAGAAACAATGCTCTGGGTTATTGCACGCATCAAAGGGTCTCCAACCCATGGAGTTGGATTGACAGCTTCCTGGACCCAGCACCACCCGGGGGAAGGGAGTAAAATTGCACCAGGGAGAAAAGGGGAGAGGGGAGGGGTACTTGCTCTCGTTGAGAGAGCAAGGGGGAAGAGAAGGGGAGCCAGGAATGCAAGGTGGATCTCACACTAACTTGAACTCTTAACACGAAACTTTCCCAATCTTGGTATGGGGGAGCGGGAGGGACGTCAATGCCCAGAACTCCTAAGAGGGACTTTGCAGGAGGAAGATTCTGGGATAAAGTCTATGTATCGGGCATGGGGGCGGAGTCAAGAGGTGGGCTCTGCATAGAGTTAAGGCAACAATCAAAGTATTGTTTGTTGTTTCTTATGGAATGTCTTCAAGTTTGGGAGTGAAGGGGGGAAAGGAAAAATTGCCCCTGGGTCCTTTCCTTTTAACAGATTGACAGAGTTGGAAGGGACTTTGTAGGTCATCTAGTCCAACCCCCTACCCAAGCAGGAAACCCTACACTATTTCTGACCAATGTCAGTCCAGTCTCTTCTTGAAAGCCTCCAGTGATGAAGCTCCCACAACTTTTGAAGGGACCTTCTGTTCCACTGGTTGATTGTTCTCCCTGTCAGGAAATTCCGCCTTATTTCTAGGTTGAATATCTCCTTGTTAAGTTTCCATCCATTGTTTCTTGTCTGGCTTTCAGGTGCCTTGGAAAATAGCATGACCCCCTCCTCCTCTCTGTGGCAGCCCCTCAAATATTGGCATACTGCTATCCTGTCTCCCCTGGTCCTTCTCTTCCCTAGACTAGCCAGGCCCAGTTCCTGCAACGATTCATTGTATGTTTTAGCCTCCAGTCCCCTAATCATCCTGGTTGCTCTTCTCTGCACTTTTTCTAGAGTCTCAACATCTTTTTTATAGTGTGGTTTTAATGCTGAAACCCCATGGATGCTTCTTGTCCTTGGACTAAGGGCGACACGATACAGTACTAATAGAGGGGGGTCAACATTTTCCAAAGCACCAGAAGACAAGACAAGAATCTCTCTATCTATCATCTATTTATTAACTATCTATTTATCATCTATCATCTATCATCTATCAATTATCTATCCATCTATCTACCTATCTACCGGTATCTATCTATCTATCTATCTATCCTCTATCTATCTATCTATCCATCCATCTATCCATCCATCCATTTATCTACCTACCTACCTATTTACCTACATCTATCTATCTATCTATCTATCTATCTATCTATCTATCATCTATCTACCTACCTATCAGAATTGTATATTTTTAGGCTCCTATTTGCTAAACATTGCAAAGTAGCTGCCTCCAACTTCTCCTTTGGCAGAATCCCTGGACCGACCATTTCCATGGGCAAAAGGGCCATGAATGCTTGCAGCCATCCAGAGTCACTCAATAGTGAGCCCAGGCAGCATATACATTTAATTAATAAATAAATAACTGCTTGCAGGAAGTTATAGGCCCATCCAGAGAGCATTGGGGGGGGGGGAAAGCTCCTCTGTAACTACCCTGTCCATCGTGGCATTTTTTTTTCAACCATAAAATTACAGGAGGGTGAAGTGGTGCAAAAGAAGAGAGCTCTAACTTTGGCAAAGAGGAAGGGAGGAGCAAAGGATGAAGGGGGAGGGACTTTCAGAAGAAAAAAGGTTGCGTGGTCTTGAGTAGGAGGAAAATGTGAGAAAGAAAGTCAAAATAATTTTGCTTGGCACCAGATGTTGCAGAGAAAAATTCACTCCATTTTTTTTTTCAAAGTTCTGCTGTTCTACCCTTCCACAGCGAATAACATTCCTGGAATCAGGAGTCCTGGGTGCTCTTGGAGCTGGCTGGTTTTCTTGCAGATGTTTCATTTCCCAAACCAAGTCCCAAACCAAGTTCATTTCCCACCACCGTCACTAGGACTGAGAAGAAGGACCAGACCTGATGATGTTACCTAGATTGGTAAAGGAAACGTCTGCCAGAAAACCAACCCAGCTCAAAGAGCACCCAGGACCCCTCACGTCAACCCTGAGTTACAAATATTCTTTTATTGATTCCAGGAACCTCTGCAGGGGCTGACCTCTGGTAAGGGCAGGGAAGCGAAAGAACGTGCGCCTCCCTACTCCCAAAGATTCAGTGTGAGTGTGACGATCATTCCATGCAGCCACAAAAACAGAACTTGCCCAGCTTCAGCCAGAGTTGGGTGTGTCCAGGTTCAGCTCAGGCCTGGGTTGTTAAGCTGCTGGAAGGCAAGGAAAGAAAGCAGCAGTAGCGGGGCTGGGGGGCTGGGGGGTGGGGGGCAGCAAGAAGATGCAAAGGGGAGAAAGGCCAGGCCAAGTGGGCAAACCATGCGCTCGTTAGCAAAGCCGCAGCTCTAGGAAGGCTCAGATCAGACAAGAGAGAAAAAGACCTGCCGAGACAGTGGTGGTGGTGGTGGAGGAGGAGGAGGAGGAGGAGGAAAGAAGAGGTGGAAGAAGAGGTGGAGGAGGAGGAGGAAGAAGAAGAGGAGGAGGAGGAGGAGGAAGAAGAAGAAGAAGAAGAAGAGGAGGAGGAGGAGGAGGAGGAGGAGGAGGAAGAAGAAGAAGAGGAGGAGGAGGAGGAGGAAGAGGAAAGAAGAAGAGGTGGAAGAAGAAGAGATAGAAGAAGAAGAAGAAGAGGTGGAAGAAGAAGAGATAGAAGAAGAAGAAGAGGTGGAAGAAGAACAACCATGACAAGAAGAAAAAGAATCCTGTTGTAACTTGTCAACATCTTCTGATTTATGATGTTTCTCTGTTATGATTATGATCCCGATTTATCCCTCGTTGTACCCTGAGACCTTCTGGCCCTGGAGACAAATTCCCGGTGTGTCCAATCTCCCTTGGCCAATCAAGGATTCTCTTGGATGCGATCCATCTAAGAGCTAAGTGAGGCCCCGAATTGTAGGTTGTATTCCAGCTGCCGTGGAGAGAAGCAATGAGGATTTGGGGCTCCTTTGAGGCGGGGAGTCTCTTAGCGCAGCCCAGAATGGGGTCCCCCCTTCCTTCAAGGAGCCAAAGCCGCGCAGAACTCTCCAAGGTCCTGACCGATGGCTACTTCAGTCAAAAGCCTGCTCCTCTCTCCCGAGCGGCGTGGTGGCCTAGAGGTGAACCGAACTGCCTTGTGTGGGGGAGGCTCAAGGTTCGATCCTAGGTAGCGGCAGATGTTTCTCTCTCCCTTGGGCGCAAACTCAAAAAACCTCTGCTGCGAACGCCACGTGGTGTCAGGAAGGGCATCCGGCCAGTGCGCGCCCAGACTGTGGCAGCATCCGGCCAGTGCACCCAGACGGTGGCGGCATCCGCTCGGCTCCATCAGCCCCCGACTCCACGAGATAAGCGAGTCGTGACAAGGGGAGTTTTTTTTCCTACTTTGTGGGGGGGGGAGTCTATTTTATGAGCTTGGACCTGAAGAGACCTTTGACCAGCTCTTTTTGCCCACAGTCCAGGCCGTCAATTTCTCTGGCCAACCTCAGGTATCCATAGAAAGGGGGAACCCACCAATCGTGGAGCCCAACTCACACCAACCCAAGGAGAATTATGCAGAGATTTACATTGACAGAATTACAGAATAACAAGAGTTGGAAGGGACCTTACAGGTCTTCTAATCCAACCCCCTGGTCAAGCAGGACACCCTAGGCTATTCTCACCAATGGCTGTCCAAACTCTTCTTAAGAAG